ATATATTGTTTTTGACTGTTAAATTAGTTGAGGCTGTATTAGACTTACTGCTTTTAATTTGCACATTACTGTTAAGCAGACTTTGTAAATCAAAAATTGTAATCCATTGAAACATCAAGATATGCAAATACATGTGATCTGTTTATTTAACTTAATGACAGACTTCTGTCTTGTAGACAAAATTACAGCAAAGCTTTTTTATTAGTATGTTCTCTTCACAGAGAAGAGGAGTATGCATGCTTGGTCCCATTGTACTTTTGTCTCAAATTGGTCCTGAGCGCTTATTAGAAAGCCTGCCACTTAAATACTTTTTGCCCCACCACCAGGTGTTTTCTCGATAAAAGGATAATAATGAACACAAATTAGTTTTTGGGAACAAATTGACCAGCAAAGAACATTTTTAGCCAAAGAGGTTTTGATGTTGCTTACATCTTAATAATCGTTCACACTCAATCAGTGACAATATTTGGATGGCAGCATTAAGAGCTAAGAGCCATGTTTACTCTCTTTGTGGCAAGCTCTGCCCTTGAAATATGGTCCCTTGTGAATTTTGGAAATAATGATGCTGATAATTGAATGTGATTGGGAAAAGAGCTGTGCTGGGTTGATCACTATATCCACATTTACAGGCTAAATAAAAAATGTCAAATAATTAAACTTGCAAAACAAGCCTTTTCTGTGTATCTGTGTTTTAATAAGTACCATAGAAACATTATTACCAGCCATTTGGCAATGAACTGTATTGCTCTGATATGAATTAGTTAATATAAAATATATATTACATTACATACACTGAAATATAAATAAGCTTCATTATTTCTATCACATCCTGAAACCTTACATATTTTGTTTCCTGAATGTATTCATTAAAAATCACAATTTCAGGAAACAAAATATTTCAAAATGTCAGCACTACCCAAAGAAGTCAAAGTAATAGATGCAAATTTTCCTTTAGCCTGTTTACAGTTTGGCCCATAGAGGCGAAGGGGGTAAAGAAAAGACCCAAAAATATAGTTCATATCAATTTACTTTTTTAAACGTTTGATATTTACTTAGGAATGTCTTCCAAGTATGCCAAGTTGCCAGGAGTTCACCTCTGCAAGCGTCTATCATTCAAGTGAATTCACACACTGGAGGAGGATCACATTGCCTCTACCACAAAAGACCTGGTAATACTGTCCATAATGAACAATATTTGCTAGTTCATTTTACTCACTTCTTTTACTCTATCAACATTTCTTTCTTTATATAATTGTTTCTTCCTTTTATTTACTATCATCAGTACAATTCCACCTCCACTATGTATGCCTCAGTAATTTAACTACTTTTTCAATCTTAAAAGAAATGTACAGTGGATTAGTATATATATATATATATATTTGTTTTCCCTTCTGTTATGCATCTATAGATCTTACAAATGTTAAAAAATAAAAAAGTGAATAAAATTGGCCCCAAATCATTTAATTTCTTTGCTTTTCTATCGCAACACAATTCCATCAATTTATGTTGTGATATAAAAACAAAAGTAAAAGCTTAGTAACACACACCTATTGGCATTGGCAGTCTTAAGAACTGAAACATATATACACTCTTAGGGTAGGTTCACACCTGCAGTACACCGCGCGGCACCCGGGACGCGCGTCCCGGGATCGCACAGTCCTGTACAATGCAGGCAGCAATTTCCGCGCGGCCCCATTGAATTCAATGGGGTGACATCCGCGCGGCAATCGCAGAAAAAAGGTACAAGTACCTTTTTTTTAAGATACACGACGCGCGGGATCTGCCCGGCGTGACTGGGGTGCCATTAGAAAATAATGGCACCCACATCGCGATTGGTTCACACCTTAGCGACTCCTGACCACGCGGCTATCTGCGCAGAATCGTGCACGATTGCCATGCGGTGAACCTAGCCTTAATAAACGTTTGGATTACAGTATTTGTGCAGTTGGTGTGTACGTTACATTTAAATGACAAAACGTTTAAAAGGGATTGAATTGTGAAATGTAGTAAAAAGTGCACATTTAACATTATCAAACACTTCTATCTTTACAGGTGCATAATTTACCCTTTAATGTTATTGTGAAACAGACGTATTACGCATTGTTTGAGTATTGTACATAACTCTGTCTTTTGGAAAGATTGAAAGCTTTTAAAATATTTGGCAATGCAAACTTTCGTTTTCATTACTAATTTCATAAGATTTGTTTATAATTCATAAAGCTGACTTTTGTTATTTCTGAAGGTCTAGTGCAACTCGCTTCCGCTGGAGCCAAAGATATTACACAACTGAAGATGAGTGGGCTTTGGACAATATTTACATTGGACAGCAGTGTCCAAACATGTGCAGCGGGCATGGCTGGTGTGATCACGGGATATGCAGGTAAAGGCATGCAGGGAGCCAAATGAGTGGACACATTGGTCTTTTAAACTGGTGAATTTGTTGGCTACAAAACAAGTAGCAATCCAAGTTTACATATTATCTTGACATTGCCATTAAAATGTAATTGATTTGTGAGTTGCTTAGCCTCATTATTTGTGTCACATCATTCTACAGTCAGGCCTGCTAATTAATGGGGAGTTAACTGCTTTGTATAGTTATGGAATGTACTGGCCAGGCTTCCTAAAGATTTTGGGTTTTCAGAAGACGTTTTTCCTAATTCTAAATACTATGCCTAAAATATTTGAACGTGAATCTTGAGAAGCTGTTAGAAAAATGCAGGTTATCATTGCTAACTTGGTTTCAGGTAGTACTTTAAAATGTATTGAAGCCAGGGGAATCGCCATGATGGCCAGGCTACTATCATTTATAGAATGAGAGGTAAGAAATGGCATCGTTCATGTTTCTTTCAGTACAGGTTTCCCTTAAATTAGATGTAAAGCAGATTTTTGAAAATATATATGCAGCAGCGCCAAACCAGGTTCATTTAATAGATGGGGATACCAGCAGCTGTAGAGACTCAGCTTTCATGACAACCAGCTGCACAAGATGTATGCCAGGAGAAAAATTAGAGCCAATTAGCAGCTATGTTATGTCTCCTGAGTTACTTCCAGTGTTTCATTGAAATTTTTATGTTTGACCAGGGAATACATTGTATTTGTTAGGAGTGTTGCTCATAATAGAAGAATACATTTGTTCACAGAGGTATTCAGAAAGAACTTCAGAATCAGAAGGAAAGTGGTCAGCTAAGACCTAGTTTTCGAATTATGCTGCTGCTGGTAATCATTGTGGATTATGGAAAAATAGCTATTTTTTTTTCAAATTTCTGATAATCCAGCATAATGGGGCTATGTTCTTTATTGTTCTTCTCTATATATACAAAACACAAAAATTCCCCAGCCTCAACCTGCCAGCCAGCCTGCAACCAAACAAGTAGCCCTGTCAACAAGTTTGTGCAACTAAAACCTCTGATTTTAACGCATACTGTTGACAGGGCTACTTGTTTGGTTGCAGGCTGGCTGGCAGGTTGAGGCTGGGGAATTTAGAGTTAGGACCACACTTTGCAGAGGTGCCTTGGCGCGGCAGTGTGGCTTCTACATATTTTTGGGCAAAAGTTTGTGCAACTAAAACCTCTGATTTTAACGCATACTGTTGACAGGGCTACTTGTTTGGTTGCAGGCTGGCTGGCAGGTTGAGGCTGGGGAATTTTTGTGTTTTGTATTGTTGTAAGCCTTCCCAAAGTGCGCCCTGCTATAAAGGCCAGTTATAGATTCATGCATGTACCATTTTTTCTGGTTCTTCTCTATATATGCCTGTTCAGGAAATATATTCTATAAGTTGTTTTTGATATAATTCCAGTCATTGATTTTCACCTATGCAAAGTAACAATACAAAGGTTTTGTGCCATACTTGCAGGTGTGATTCTGGATACCAGGGTTCTCAATGTCTTCCCACAAATTCACTTCCTTCCACTGTAATGTCTGACTTTGAAGGGCTGAATGGCTGGGAAACAAACTGGCAGGAGGTAGTTGGAGGAGAAATTGTAAAACCTGAGCAAGGATGTGGAATAATTTCTTCAGGCTCATCACTGTACTTCTCAAAGGTATGATTTTTATGACTATTGAAACAAATAGGACAAACTTTTGCAAGCAAGGTTTTAAACCTTTGTTACAATATTCATTCTGTAATGTATGTCTTTGATATTTGTTCAGATATTCATATGTTTATACACAATTGTAAATAATCTAAAGTTTCTCGTGATGGGTCACTGTCAGCTTACTTTAACCCATTTTTAGCTTCAGTCTGTAAATTAGCATTTCCTAGCATGATGTCCTGTGTTGATGATGGCTCTCAATCCCAGCTGTAACTGAGAACTTTAGTCCCCATTGGTGATCGACTACCAGTCAGACTGGTTCCCTATCAGGTAATCAGCTATGACATACTTATTATATGCAGCATGAAAGCTTTATTGGCAAAATAAGCCTACAGCTTACATAGGCACCGTAGATGCCACTACAACCTGAAGATGGCAGTGTCATCTGTTTAATACTGATTTGTCAGACACAGATACAGTATTTAAAAAAATACATTCATTTAAAACATTTTGACTTTTTTTTACATATTTGTGCATTTGTATATAATAGAAAAAAACACTGTGGCAATTGAACGACCTATACGTGCAGTATTTTACATATATGTGATTAAACCACTTACAATGGATGCTGCTTCTTGCTTTTTAAAAGTTATAGTTTCCTGCAGAATCAGCTTGTCCCCTGAGCATTGGCCCTGATATCCCCTTTTTAGGGTGGCTTCTTCCCCTTGCTGGGTCCTAAGGAGCTACCCTTGTGTGTGTCAGTAAGCTGTCTGTATCTCACAAAAACACAGGCACAGCAAGGCAACCCACCACCCTGGTCCCAGCGCTCTTCTCCCTGCTGCCTTCTCCAAGGAAGTAGATGGACAGTTGCTGGAGACAGCTCTGTCCATTGTGATGTTGTAATGGACAAGAAGTTCAGGGAAGCAGTATTTATTTACAGGAAGAAACACTTTGCTGTAAAGAAATACTTTTCTGTATATGTGTTTGATCTGCATTCATTATTGAAAATAAGGTTAAAAGTGTAATGCTACTTTAAATAAAAGCAGTCACAACCAACTTGTGAAACTTTAGAATTCTAAATTAAAGGTTAACGACGTTAACGTTAAATAAAAATTCAAGGTTTTTGTGAAATAAAACTGAAAATTGTATGTATAATTTGGCAAATGTTATGTGCCAAATACATTTAAATTATTTTCCAGAGTCAAAATAATTTAAAAATGATGGATACATTGTCCAGAGAAACTCTATGAATTGGGAAAAATCTCTGTATATTCCCCATGAAAACAAAATAGCACTTCAAATGGGCCCATAGTCTGCAAAAACAGAAGTGTATCCACACCTTCAAGTGCTTCCAAACAATGCTAAAAAGCACACAGCTGTTGTTTTACCTGTATTCAATACCTGAAAATGTAATAAATAGCTGTACTTGTATGTCTTAAATGTAATAATAAAAATGTGTTTACACTTACATTTTTGACAGGTCAGTAACAGGGTCTGAATGTACTGATTTCTAAGTCTTCTGTTTTTTACACATATTACTCTCATTGTTTTTGCACTGTTATAGTATTTTTGCACAATTTATGCCAGCATTAATTGAACATAAAGGTTCTTTTATACAGTGAGCGCTCTGCTAGAAAAAAAGCTTTGCCGTCCACAAAGATGTCACTTCTAAAATACTGTTTTGTCTGATCCTGGAACCTCATACATAACAAAACCTTGGAGTACCTTTCATGTGGGGCCAATAAAACTTATTGTACACTGCCAAAACATTAGGTCCCAGCTGTATAAACCAAACATGCAGTGGCATATTTTGCAAAACTTTACCCTGAAGGGATCTGGAATAGAATGTGGCCACTTCATACCCTTTTACATAAACACTTATCTACTCAGAACAATAAACCACAACTAGAAATGCGCATAGACAACAACAGAATGATTGTTGGAAAAACTGGCACATTGTATGAACCTTTATATTTTTGTATTGTTTTGGTATAGCTCAGTGTATCCCTTCTACCCTATGGGTTTGGGAATGTTTGATAACAGCCAGACAGCAAAGTTGATTTCTGTTCTTTTTTTCACAATTAACCTTTTGTTTACCCTTGATTACCCTTATTTTTGTTTTTGTTATCAGTCTTGAAACTCTTGATATTTAAACTATAAAAGGTCTATATCACGCAGGATACTTAATTTGGCTCTATAACTGAGCTTCTCTTAAGTGTTTTAACTTTGCTGCATTTGATTAAATGACAGTTCATGCATAGCAATGTAATTTCTGCCTTTATTCTGTAGATCACGGATTATAATGTTATATATTACAACCTAGCAATGAATCAGCAATGTTTCCCTTTGACAGACTTTTATAGTTTAAGAAAGGCTTCTGCCAAGGGATTGCAATGGATATTTAAGATTGTTAATAACCATACAAACAAATTTTTTATGTGTGGTAAAGCTGGGTATACACGGTTCTATTTTTTTTTTTGGTTCAACCCACGGGCTGATAAAAAAAAGAACAGATTCTTCCATCAACACTTATGAGCATTAATTGAAGAATCCTCTGCTGTTTCTATTGTATTCTGAAAACGGCCTCCCCGCCACTGTCAGAATTCCTGGATGGAGCTGGCAGCTGATTGGCTGCTAGCTCTGTTCAGCCACAACTTTTCTGACCTGCTCCTTTGATCAGCTGATCAAGGGATGCTGGGTGTAAGGGTTCATCAAGAACTAGCCGAAATTCGTTGCATTTAAAGCCTACTTTAGTCTTGCATTTCCTTAGCCATACACATACACTGTTCAGTCAATAGTTATCCACCTGGCTCAGCTGATTTTTAAATTGACTTTTGGTGAGCTGTGTGGTGGTGGCAGGGCAGCAGGAATCGGATGAAGTTCAATATGTGTCTAGCCAGCCTTAGTTGCTTATACATACAGGGTGGTACTTTGGATAAGTTTGTACTGTATTGTTTGAAAACAATTGCAATTGCCATATAGTAGGCGTCTCATGCTCTCTGTTTTATTTTTATTTTTTTTAGAAAGTAATATTCTTTTTTTTCAGGTGATCATTGGTAAACAAAAATATTTATCAAAAAGAAGCCCATTGTATTTATGTTCCTGTTCCTTTACTGGGTCTTTTAGTAAGAGCCTAGTTACAGTAAAAGTACAGTGCATGTGAATGTGCATACTTATATGAATATTCACATGAACATTGTGCTGTGCTATAGGCTTATGCAGGTCACATTGAGTGCAATTGTTAATTTAGGGGCCCACTTCATCAGGGAGTAAATCAACAAGATAATAATACTTTAAAATTACATTTTGCAGTTGGGAATTATTCTTAAAGCTGATTTTGTATGGCACATATAGTACACTTTGAATATACAAAACACAGTGAGGCGAATTTATAAACAGTGGAGCAGCTAAAATCTGGAGCAGCTGTGCAGGGCAATCAATCAGCTTCTCTCTTTCATTTTCAAATCTTAACTGAACAAACTGAAGAGATAATCTGATTGGTTCTCATGCAAGACTGCTCCAGATTTTAGCTGCTCCACTTTTGATAAATTCCCCCCATTTTGTTTCTTGATTGGGCTTTATAAGGATTCTAACAAAACACTTATATGATTAAATTACAACTTTTTACGAAAGTCCATACTTTTTATGCTCTGTAGTTTACACTTTGTATGCATGATGTAGTGTGACCACCAGGTTACAGTAAATCTGTAGTGTTTTTACGATACAATACGCTACAAAATAGACATTCTATTTCCTTCTTTTTTAGTAAGTCAAATATAAAGTATTGTGAATGGAAATTATATATTTATCAGTGAAGCAAGCTTTGTGCTCCTTAGCAGGACCTGTGTGGAGTATCTCTCTGCAGGTCAGTGCTAAAATAGACCAGAGCAGCAGACACCTTCCCATTAACACATACCGTGTTTCCCCGAAAATAAGACACTGTCTTATATTTTTTTTGGCTCAAAAAAACACACTAGGTCTTATTTTCGGGGCAGGTCTTATTTTTTTGTTTATTTTTTTAATGTACAACAACCCGCACTTATTCATGTAGAAAAGTCTACATGTATTCATGTACAAAAAAATGATGATCAAGGCAATTAGGGGTGCCGTGCCTTTCCAAGAGCAATGTGATAACCAATTGCTGGCCAGAATGTGCGAAGAACACTTTCACTATTGATTCCTCACAGGCGGAGCGCATTTGGTATCACTCCGTCTGTGACAGGAGCCGGCGCTATAGAAAAGGCATCGGCTTATGCGGCTCTGCTCCTTCCGGTGCCGCCTCGCTTCCTCTAGCGCTGGCTTGGTTGGCACCGCTGATTCTCTCCTGCGCCTCTTCAAGTTCGCCCTTATGCCACCACCGGCCCTGGGAATGGTCACAACTAGGTCTTATTTTCGGGGTAGGTCTTATATTTTAGCAATTCCCCAAAATAGTACTAGGTCTTATTTTCAGGGTAGGTCTTATTTTCGGGGAAACAGGGTACTTGGATCATAAATGGTAATGATTAATTGGTCCAGAAAGGCTGCCAAAAGTATGCAGGTACAACTAGGCTTTCTTTTCAGAGAACAATATCCTTTGCAAATTAGGGGACATCGAAGCACTTTGTAATGTTTATTAGTAAAATAAGGTTTTATACAAATAATTGAAATAAATGATATAAAACATATGTGTATGAACAAAAAAGTTTAAAATAAAATTGAACACAAAAATCTTTAGAATGCTTTTTCATCTCAGTTTGAAACAGAATGGACATTTCATTGTAATTCCATATAGAATGTAATCTTGTAGAATTATCTTTTGATTTACTTTTTTTTTCCTTTTTCTCTAGGATGGCAGAAGACAGCTAGTTAGCTGGGACATGGACACAACATGGGTAGATTTCATACAATTCTATATACAGATTGGAGGAGACAGTCCATCTTGCAATAAACCAGATAGCAGAGAGGAGGGAGTGCTACTACAGTACAGTAATAATGGCGGCATAAATTGGCATCTGCTTGCAGAAATGTACTTCTCTGATTTTACAAAACCAAAGTAAGTGTCATTCTCTGTATCTAATAAACTCAGAAGCCCGATTTAAATCAGATTTCCATCTACACAGCTAAATACATATTTGAACTACATATACAGTATGTAAACAGTTTTTTCCTACTTAATGATGTTGTTATCCTGCTTAGGAAGTATTTGATTCACTGTCAAGCTGTTTTTTTATTTAGCTTTACAGTTTGCTGTGTCACCAACCTGCTCATGGGCATTAAATCAGCAGTGTGATTAGGTTGATTCCTTGTCTAATGTGGAGGCTAGAGGCCGAGGGGTGACACAGGAAGATACAAATACATTCAGAGTAGCCACTTGGCTATGTGTACAGTGTGGTGTTTACAAGACTAACAGTTAAAAGTGCCTGCTGCACACCATACAGCTTGTGACTAGTGTAGATAAAATAAGTGATTGAAGTGACCGCCATGGATGGCACCATGCAGAACCTCAGAGATGTGCAGATAGGTCACCAGCACTCCAAAATGCAAAGAAAATATTGTTCATTGCAAATAACGTCACATAGGTCAAAATTACCAATGTTCCAGGGCTGTACAGAATCCCTTCCTCAAAAAGACACAGTGACAAGGTCACAATAACCTTTGTGATGTTTTTGCAATAAACAATATTTTCTTGGCATTTTGGAGTGCAGGTGACCTATCTTCACATCTACAAGACTAACAGAACATAATATAAATCATTGTTAACTATTATAATTATTCCATGGAAAACAATCAGGCCAGTTTGTTAAATTAAAGTCCCTAGAATAAATGACAGTTAACACAGTGGTTTCCAAAACAGATTTTCTGGATGTGCAAATTTGCCCGATAAGTAGTACCAAATCAGAGAAGGTCATGGGGACATGGACTGTCCATGGATATTGCTGTGATTTTTCACAGCATACTGTAGAGCATACTGTATTCATGAGCATACTGTATTCATATGTAATAAATATGGTTTGTACTCTGTACAAACTTTAAGAACACAAGAGGGGGGAGTCTCACACATTCATGGTTGAAATTAGGTTCAGACTGGGACTCTGGGGCCCACCAGAGAAAGTTGGGTCTTTGGGCCCACCTGGCCAACTTGTCAAATTTAACACAACACAATGACATGGCTTAACAAGAAAAATCTATACTTTGCATTGTATTTATAACACAGTTGTGCAAATATGTAGTTAAATGATCTGTCTGAATTTCTACACAAATGTACACATTGTATATAACAATCAAAAAACATGACTGGAAAATGACATTACCAGTAATTGTTCAAGCAAGTGGCACTAAGCATGATGAGTATTACCAGTAATTGGTCAAACAACTATCACTAAGCTCTGTACAGAACAGAGCTGAAATCATTGGATTACCAAGTCCTGAAGATGATATGTAGACTTAAGCAATGTCTCTTTACAGAGAGTGAAGAATGAGCAAATTTATCAAGGATGACATTGGCAAATTTTGCTAAGTATAATGAGGATGATGACCAATTGTACAGAGCTGAAATATTTACCTAGTATTCAAAAATGTGGGCATTATTTATGTAGACCTTAGCAATGTCTCCCTAGTGGGATTAAAGGGAAATGAGCAGATTTATCAAGGATGTCATCAGGCAAGTGTCGCCAAGTATGATGAGGATAATGACTAATGGTACAGAGCTGAAATCATTGATTTGCCCAGTCCTCAAGATGTTGATATTAGTCATGTAGACTTTACCAATGTCTTCTTTAGTGAGAGTAAAGGAGAAAGAGCGTATGTATCAATAATAATAAACTAAAATGTAGCTGATATCACTCTCAGTGTTCAGTAAAATAAAGGATTCCAGAAGGTCCTATCCAGTGGAAGACCTTAAAGGAGAACTAAGGGATAAGTGTTTTTCCCCATAGTTCTCCTCAGGGTCACGGGAGGACATAAACTAGCGTCCTCCCGTGACCCAAAGCTCAGTATACCGCAAATTACAGCTCGCGGTATACTGAGACCGCCGCAGCCGGGATGGAACATTACTGTCGAGATCCACCCAGCTGCGTGATTGACAGCTGGCTATTCCTATCTAGAGGCAGAGCCAGCTGTACTCGCCCCCTCCCCGTCCATTCCACCGGTCAGCGCTGGAGGATCGGACAGGGGAGGGGGGAATCCCTGCAGGGAGCCGTGAGTGACAGTCACGGCTCTCTGCAGGGACAGGATGGACTCGAACACGTCGGCTCGAACTATGAGGCTGAGTGAAAATCACTCACCTCATAGTTCTCCTTTAATCTGTGTTTGTACAAATTTCTACTTAAAAGGAGTGAGAGAGTAAGTACTTTATATATTGCAAAACATTTTATATATGCAGCAGAAGTTATGATCATACAAAATTGCTAAACAAAATTATTTAGCAACAAGTAAGACAGTTCTCACATGCTATACAATTTACATCAGTAAAATAAAATCATCATTTGTATATTTTGCATAGATTCCTTAGAAATTGATCTTTTTTGTTTGAAACCAAGATATTCAATCTTAAACTGAACAATATTAACATGAGCCAACTGTGCTACAGTTTGCAAAGTTTTTTTTGTTGTATTGTCTTTTCGTTTGATTTGACTAAACTGGGTCTAAGCATGACATATCATGGACCAGATTTTTATTTTTTTATATTTTTTTGTTTTCAGACTGGTTGTCACCTAACTAATGACTACATAGAGAACCTTATATTGAAACCAATTAAGGGTGTTAGAAAGGGGTTCAGCCTCTGAAAACTTTTCAGTAATTTTTTTTTCTTGTGACCTTTTTCTGAGGTTAGCAGCAGCAGTAACCGAATACTCCGGAAGGGTACTGTTTCCATTTGTGACAAATAATTCCAGCAGTGTAGTTAGGTTTGAAAATGAATATCTACCCTGACAGACAGATACACATTTGTTAGTGCTTGGTGTGCAATTTCCTCATGTTCCGCTACATATGCTTATATACATGTACTTTTTCAGCTTTGCAACCAGTTATGAATGGACTTTGTCTGTTAGCCAAACCAGTGGAGCAAAACAATTCTTATGTTTCTACACAAAATTAAAGTACTTTTTTAGAATTGCACAAGCACCAGGCATAGGGCAAAACCACAAAAGTACACATTATGCCCTTGTAATGGTAGCACAATAGTAGCATCTTATGATGGCTGGATGGGATGTGCCCTCATAAACTGGATGCCCTGCCCACACAGCCAGCCAGCTCAGCAGCACGTTCCCCTACAGCTTCCAGGGCACACCTGTGTGGACTGGTTTTTATGCAGTTGGCAGAAAGGGTACTTCTTACCTGGTTACATTGCTGCCTTGCAACACAAGACACAGGTGCAGCAGAAGAGGAAGTGTGGGTCAGAGCCAAGCTTGCAGCTATCCATCACGTAGCATTTGCTGAAGTTTCTGTTCATATTGCCTGTTGGCGGCAATATTGTGGCTGGGGGCCCCAGGGTGGGACGCTTGCCACAGAGAGTCAAGCAAACAAAGAGAATGACATTGACAGATAGAAATTATAGCCCCCACTAGGTACATTTTATGTAAATTTTTGTCACATACAAAGGATTCTCTGAAACTTTGGAGGCCAAGTTTATAAACTTCCACCATTACAATATCCCACTGTATAAATATTATATTCATGTAACCAAGGAGAATCCTAGTTTATGGGGCCACTACCCCAGTTGGATTACATATACTATTATATTTATGTAAACAATCATTCCTATCTTTTGTGAAATGTGAAAGTCAATCACTTCAATTCTGTTCAGTGGTTATCTTAGCATGTCATAGGTTATGTGGGCAGGGGGGTAATCAGTAGGTTTGTATTGGTTGTTAAGTGTTTGTAGGTTAAATTAAACTTAAAAATAGTTTTCAATAAAAATGGCATGGTACAAAAAAACATGGTTTGTAAGAGTAAATGAATAGAACTGACTTGGTGCCTTATTTAATGTATGTATATGTATCACCCCAAAATATCATTGCATTTACTTGTGTGAGAACACAAAACAATTCTTTTTAATAAATCCTTTCTAAATTAAAGTTTCTTTAAGAACAACATATTCAAAAACACCCCTCAATCCAGTTATTTATTCATTAAAAATGGCTTATCTGTAATAGAGAAAAGGGAATTAATTTATGGCCATGTAGTGCGTAGTCACAAGAGAGACTATTGACAGGTAAAACAGTCCATCATATATGTATTTCAACTGTTTTTCTTAACATTTTTAGTATTTAGTTTTTCTGTCTCAAACAAAGTGTTTGAATGGCAGGATATAATTATAAAAACTCATTATGTAGACAGTAATATTAATTTCTTTACATTTTGTCTTGCATTTATTTCTCTTTAATTAGAAGGAACATCCTCATACATAGGGAATATCTGGGTTAATGATGGAGTATAGACTGTACGGAGTTGTGTTTTTCTGCCATATTTATAGATGTTTCATAGTATTTACCAAGTTTCTTTTAAATTGCCCATCTTAACAAGGTGATGTATATATCCCATCAGGTTTGTTTATTTTGAGCTTCCTAATACAGCTAAAACACCATGTACCCGATTCCGTTGGTGGCAGCCAGTGTTCTCAGGAGAGGGTTATGATCAGTGGGCTATTGATGATATCATCATCCTCTCAGAAAACCAAAAGCAGATTGTTCCTGTTGCTTATCCAACAATACCACAAGTAAGTCAATTCCAAACTGATTATTAAAACTGCTGATTACACTAATCATTTTTATTTTAATTCTTCCATCTTCAGTCAAGTGAGTTTTTTGGCTATTGTCTCCCAAATAATACACTTTAATGTTTATTTCATTGTGTTTAAATTGTGGCCTTCCTAAGCTGCTTACATAATGCCCAGCCACTTTAAAAATGTGTTGCCTATGGTCTCTCAGATAATATGCTCTAATTTCTTTTTCAAGATAAAATCTTCCTCATCTCTCCCTTATAAATTGCGGGCCTAACCAAGCTGCTTACATACTGTCCAGATGCTATAAAATATTTCTGGCTATTGCCTCTTGGAAAATAGCTCTAATTTGCATTTCAAGATAAGACATGCATTGTCTCGCCGTCTTTTATTTGCAGCCTAACCGAGCTGCTTACATAACTGTCCATCCACTATAAATCTGAGTCTCTCAAATAATGCCTTCTAGTGTATTTTAAGATAAAACATGTCTCTTCTCTCCCTCTTAAATTGTGGCCTGAGAAAGCTGCTCACATACAGTCTAGCCACTCTTAAATATCTTTGGCTATTTTCTCTCAGATAATGCACTCTAACATTTATTTCAAGATAAAACCTGCCTTGTCTCTCCCTGTTTATATACTGCCTAACCAAGCTGCTTACATACTGTCCAGCCACTATAAAATATTTGTGACTATTGTCTCACAAATGTTTATTTCAAGATAAAATCTGTATTTTCTCTCCCTCCTAAATTGTGGCCTAACCAAATACATACTGTTCAGCCACTATGAAATATTTTGGTTAATGTCTCTTAGATAATGCACTGTAGTTTTTATTGCAAGATAAAACCTGCCTTGTCTTACTGTAACTGCTGCCTGTTCAGGTGCTCACAAACTGTCCATACACTGGCCAATTTCTAACAAAAACATACCTGCAGTATATATTTAGAAAATTATGGGGAATAATCAGGATACAGGCAAAAGAATGGGTGCAGGAAATGTGCAGTTGTGGTTGTGAAGTGTTTTGTGCACCCTAATGTGATATTTTAAATTAACGTTTAAGTTAAATACTGTTGTGCCACTGGCCAATTTGTAACAAGTTGAGAGCTTTAATTTTTTTAAGTAAACCTTCCCATAGCTTTTGGATCTGTTGTGGCTACTACTTCTACCAGTCAATTCAAGCCTACTAGACTGTCACAGCCAAAACTACATAAAAAACTTGGCATTCGAATTATTCAAATTGAATTAATCAAGGTATACAACTTAAATCACCAGGTAAACATAAGGAAAAAAAGAAACTAATGCAGCCACTACATCTAAGGAATGATAAGCTGCAACTTATTACATCTCTGTTATTAGTTTAAGATATGCTTTAACTCACAATCCTACCTCCCTCTAAATTGTCCAAACCAGTGGTGTCCAACTCTAGTCATTTTGTTCACTTTTTATAAACATGTATTTATTGTTGTCTATTCAAGAAATACTAAAAAAAAAAAGTGTGTTAGTCCTGACTCTGGTAGGCTGGAGTTGTACAGTTCTGTTCTAAACTATTGCCTCAGCTACTATCTAATTGTCTTTTTGGTAGTGAAAGTCATGTGCTGCACGCCTAATGTTTACCCTACCTTTGCAAAAACCTCACAGTGGTGGCATACAGTGTTGTAACAAAATTATTTATTTTAAAGGAGCTGATATTTGTTTTAAACTTATTTTATGGTACCATGAGCCAATTATATAATCAACCCAGAACAGTAAAAGAATTGTTTAATTGTGTGAAAACCTGCAGACGAAGATGTTTTTTATGTATTAAGTACAGTGTGGTTCAAAACAGTAATTGCAGCCATAGTTTCACCCTAAAAGACGTGTCTCTACAGCACATGTTTACCATTCTTCACCAGCTCGAAAATACATGAAATGACTGATGAATTGTCAGATGGGATCTTTATGATATGTATTTATAATTTCCCAGTAGCGTATGATGTGTGGTTTTTGATGGCAAGCACATCTACAATTTTCTTTTAATTATGATTGTACAATACAGCCTTGGCAGGCAACCCACATATTTTGTTTTTAACCTTACGCCTGATATGTCTGCAACTTGGGAACCTACCAATACTGCCTTCACTTTGTTAGATTTCAGTCGGTATTTATTGGTAATGTCAGAAGCAGTAAATACAGATTGGACAGAGCAGGTACAGTTGTAAAATAATATGTGCTTCTAACCTGCATAGTGTTATACATGCATTATCCTTCTCTACTAAGAAACATCACAACTTTTTTGCAAGGAATGTAAATTTTATAGCATGTGCTGAGCAGTGGGATATGTGGGAAATAGAAAAACTTTCTCAATAAAATGAAACTGTAATTGCAATTTTTCAATTTTAAATATAAGCAATTTATTTTCTGTCCTGTCAGAACTTTTATGAGAAGCCTGCATTTGACTACCCCATGAACCAGCTGAGTGTCTGGCTTATTCTAGCTAATGAAGGGATGGTTAAAAATGAAAGCTTCTGCTCTGTTACACCTTCAGCCATGATATTTGGAAAGTCAGATGGTGATCGATTTGCTGTGACACGAGATCTGACTTTAAAACCAGGATATGTGCTTCAGTTTAAGGTAATTTCAAATAATTTGTCACTATTATGGTATTTTAGTATAGTGCAATAATATTTTAGATTTAAACATAACAATACCATCATTATGTATTAGTAAATCATATTCTTGCTGTAGACAGAAATGTAGGTGTTTAGTATATCATGGTGGTTAGGAAACACATTCCCAAGTCATAAACTTTATACATACAGTAATTAAGGAGTAAGCCTAACCCCCCTTACAATGGATATGACATAATTGAAAGCAAATGTATAGTGGTTTAATACATGTTTTATTTACTATGGTTAGTGTAAATGTATTATAGTTTATTATGGTTTTCTAGTCAAAATTAAATATTGAAGTGGAATATTCAGTATTCTTATATCCAGCCAGCAGGTGATGATTTAAGTTTCCAATTTCTCTTTATCTTGGTGAAAAAGCGTGTTTCTCTCAGTGTTCATTAGGAGGGACACAGTAGAGCACTAGGTATACGCCCTACCACTAGAAAGTTGGACAGTAAAAGACTTAAAGACATGACTTCTCCTTGTAATTGATACCCTCCTGTTCAGTAAGCAAGCCTGTTTAGAGAGCTCAGTAGTGCAAGCTAAATTTACACACACAAGAGAATTAGTAAGAGCGTCAGCTTCTCCCTTACTTCCTCTCCAACTGAACAGCTTTAAATGAGGCATTCTTTAGAGCAGTGGTTCTCAACCTGTGTAACATCAGGACCCACATTTGTCCCAAGGCGCACCACACTGGCACGCAAGGCATTGTGGTACCACGCATTCCGGTGCGGGTAATCGAACTGTGTGCAAGAGGTGCATTTGGGTAGCCATTCAAGACATTCTCACACACACATACACACTCCTCAAAAAATGTTTTTTATTTTTTAAGACCCACCCCATCTTTCTTCCACACGAGAACTGGAGTGGATCCTCGGCCTGGGGTCCAGTATGAGCTGCTGTGCCGTGATGGAGCTCCATCCATATGTGCACTGCTTGTACACCTCCCTTGCGCACCCTGTAGAGGTGGCGGGAGCCAGAATGTGATGTCACTCCAGTCCAGGAACCTCTACAGGGCACGCGAGGGAGCTCAAGTTGACACTCGGTTTCAGGCATCATATTTTGAATGGGTGCTTGGCACGAGAACTGACAGTGCTACACTAGGGGTAGGCTGAAGAGCCTCTCACCTAGTGCAGTGGAAGGCATGCAGCGACCCACTGAACACAGTGTTGTGACCCACTTTTGGGCCAGGACCCACCAGTTAAGACCCACAGCTTTAGGGAACCCATGCTTTGTCATGTGTGCATGTATGCACATGAGACTTTTTCTCTCCTGGGCCCCAACAAGTTTCATTTTTTTTTAAATAGCAGATGATTGAACAGATTGTATAACCAAAAATAGGGATATTACATTTTGATGTGCTTTTCACTAATGGGACTGAGGGCTTGCCGAAGTTATCTAATTCCAGACAAAAGATTGATGAAACGGTTATTGATGCCTTGAAGTGGTGAGATAAAGCCTATAAATCAATAATAATATAGATGAACAAACTCCTTTCAACATTGTAAAACATTTGGTCCAATTTTGTTAAAGTTTGATTAGAGAGCAGTTACAACAAGATGCCTTTCATTATTTTTATTAGCCAGAAAAGCCTCTTCCGTACAGCTGTGAGATATTGGTATACTTTGTTAGTTTGACCTGAATTTCTCTGGTTTCTTGGCTGAGTTCCATCAACTGCCATCCCATGTGTAATGTGACTGCCATTAATAGCCACTTAGGCAGTCTAGTCGGACAGTTGAATAGCAGTTGGTAGGGCTTAACTATGAAGTCAGAAAAAAAACAGGTTCTAGTACAAAGTTAAACTAAGTAAGAGAGGGCAAACAAAACACTGCTCACATTCCAAATCCTGAATCTGTCAGCATGACTGCATCCCAGTTATAGGTTTCGAACGTGCCTCCATTCCCAATTACAAGAATTAAATAAAGTGCCGCACTCCACAGGAATTCCACCAAAAGTAAGATCGTATTCAATTATGAAGTAATACACTGCACACTGATCCAAATCCCCACACCGATCTTCAGCCGCTTACGCACTCCACCCATTGGGCTTAATCAGAAAGGCTGATAGAGAGAGATCTCTATGATTAAGCTCAACAGGTTGAACGTGTGAGAGGGTCAGGATCAGTGTGGGGATTTGGATCAGTGTGCAGTGTACTGCTTCATAATCAAATAAGCATTTTACTTTCAGTGGAATTCCTGTGGATTGCGGCGTTCATTGAATCCTTGTACGTAAGAGTGGGGCACAGAAGATACTTTCTGACTAATCAATGTAATATCAGGCATTTTGTGGTGTCTGTCACTAGCAGAACCTTTATTGAAAATTGAGTACAGGTTCACTTTTCAAAGTGATATTGTATAAATGCGGTAACTTCATGTAGACCTAATACTGTTGCAAAAGCCACATTCATAACATGAATAGCCTAAAACCCGATCTGTGAAACTCCTTACCTGTAATCCTTAGAGGACCATTCTAAATATTTGTATATACAAATAGAGGTAATATATTTAACTTCATTTTGCTTGACAAAGCAAACTGAATTGCAGTTGAGCATTATCATAATAAATGCAAAACTGCAAAACAAAGGAGCACTTTCCTCAAAATGAAATATGACCCTATGTCACTCCATCCTTTTAGTAGAAAAGTAAACTGATCAGACATACAGTGTGAGAGTTATGTCTAAACGTATAAATAATTCCTATTCATAGTGGTGACATTAGCACACTGTGTTATTATTTTGCCCCGTTCTTTTGTATAAGCCCAGCATTGCATTTCTACATATGAGACAATTGGTTTTATGTGTCATTCTAATCACTGAGATCTCATGCTAATCTGGTGACAGCTCAGAGACAATGTTTACTAAACACAACTTGGTGAGTTCTGACAGTGAAGATCAGTCCTCTAAAAAACAGAAAGTGAGTCTGTATAAGGAAGTCCAGTGAATACCAAACAGAAAGTAAATATGTAATAAGCCATTCACTACCGTATAATGTATGTGTTATGATTCCACCTTTGCTGTTTATGTTAGTTTCTCCTGTCGTTAGTGTTAATGTTTCTGTAGTTAAATCATTATTGATTTTAGTGTTCACCTGCCTTCTGTGGTAAGAAATCATTTCAAATTATGAATCTGAAATCGTGCTTTATTTGGTTAGACAAGCTGTTATCTCTAAATCGTGATCAAATTTTTATCGAGTTTATAATGAATTCCCATTTGTGAATTTCCAGGGGTAGACAGAAATTTAATTTTAATGAGCTAGCCACCACTACATGGTCCTTACATAATTGGTGAATACAGATGATGAATAATTTACAAGTGGAATTATTAAAGAGATCAGATGTTTACAGGGGAGCCTTCAAATATCATTTCCTCAGTTCTAAAAATAGAACAGCACACTGGATAAGATAGAATAATACACTCTAAATAGGTAGAACTGAGATAGTGTACAGAGGCTTACAGAGAAAGACAACCTTAGGAAGAATCTATAGGGCTTTTTTCGACAATCAGATTAATGCTATGTTAATGTTTTAAATCCTTCTATCTATCTATAGGTGTTGATTTAAGGCAAATGGGCTGTTCACGTTACAAGGTAATTTTCCCTCAGTTTAGTGAATGTGGTGAAATTTCGCTTTGCAAAGGATATCCAATCACGGGGAAAAAAAATTAAAACCAGTATTTTTGCTTGCACATGTTTGAATGATGGAAGTCAGCAGGGCTTCACATTATTCACTAAGCTAAAGGGAGAATTCCCATGTAAAGTGCTAAATTCCCTTGCAAAGTGAACAGCCTGTTTCTTTAGAAAATCAACACTATAGTGTCATGTTATTAATGCACATGGCAGCAGCCATATAGGCATGTTGTGTATATATGCTGCTTTCTGCTGAGTAGTGCTGCACCTTTCCATTACTGACTTACAATCTCTTGTTCTGTACTGTGCCTGTGTGTGAAAGCTGTTGTCTTGACAGAGGCGACAGGGTTTCGCTTCCTCATGTCATAGCCCCCAGCAAGAAGAACAGTTAGCAGCAAAGGAGTGACGTTACCAATTCTCACTGCAAATCTCCTGAGCATAAGAGACTGATTTACTAAATGAGTTAAGAATCCTCACTTCAAAAATTGTGTGAATATTCCCTTTAGTTATTGATTTTCCAACAGCTTTTCACATGATTGGATAATTAAAGTCAGAGGCAGCAATGCCTTAGATCTCTCACTGCAGATATACAGCTATAATGGCTGTATATCTGCAGTGAGAGAAGAAGTGCCTGGATACCCTCACATACCGGGAAGTGCACTACTTTTTTCAGAAGGTATTCAAGACAAAAGGTACCTTTTTCTGGGTACTAATTAGGCACTTAACATTTCTAGGCATTTTCTTAAGGTGCCCATACACTGCACGATTCTCTACGAGAATCGCGGGAAATCCCGCCGTTGTACGATAATCGTGCAGTGTATGGAAGGCGTGTGACCGTTTCTAATGTACGGTCACACGACTTTTGTATTTCGAGCATGTTGGAAAACCAGCCGAGAATCATACGATTTTCGGCTGGTTTTTAACATGATCGAGAGATAACAGCCGAACGGGCCGGTGTGCGCACGCGCATACTGCCCGTTCAGCATTGCAGTCATCGGAAGCCCGCCCCTCAGGGGGGCGGGCTTGCGATGATCGCAACTATGATCTGCCTGTCCAAGATGGGCAGATCGTACGTTTTTTAAAGTACTTTACAACCCTCGCAAGACAAAAGTCTTGCGAGGGTTGTAAGGTGCGAGGGTTGTAAAGTGTATGGGCACCTTTAAACAAAGCAAGTTGTAATGATCCTGTATAGACCAGGGACAAGCCAAGAAGTGAACAGCATAAATCTCTACCAACTGGTCAGGAAACAGACTTTCATCATGGATGCTGGTTGTGGAGTTACCAAGTCTTCGCCAAGGTCATTGATGGTGTGGATGGATTTGTGCTGCTGGCAGCAAAC